CGGCGAGGGAGCCGCGGCATCGGCGCTCTCCGACACGCCCCCTCGGGTCCCCTGGAAGACCCCACCCCGTGGTGCGGGTCGGGGGGGTTCCTTACTCCGCGACCTGGGAGTAGGAATAGGGCGAGAGAGAGACGGAAGGGAAGGGGGGGAGGAGAGAGAGAGAGATTAAAAGGGGGCTCGCCAACCCCCGGGCACGCCACCAGATGGTCTTCAGCCAGCTGGATGGCCTGCGTCAGCGACGTCGGGCGGTGGCACTGGACCCACTCGGCCGTCCCCCGTGGTAGCCGAGCGACGAACTGCTCCAGCACCACCAGATCGACCACTCCCTCGACGTCGCGGTCCTCTGCCAGCAGCCACTTGCGGCACGCGTCCCGGAGCTGTTGGGCCATCACGAATGGTCGGCCGCTGTCCCCCAGCTCCCTTGATCGGAAGCGTTGCCGATGTTGCTCGGGGGTATGGGCGACTCGCTGAAGGATGGCCCGCTTCAGATCATCGTAGGCCAGGAGGTTCGCAACAGGCAGCTGTTGGGCCGCCACCTGTGCTTCCCCAGTCAGCAGCGGGATCAGGCGCACCGGCCATTGGCTGCGCGCCCAGCCGCACGCCTCCGCTGTCCTCTCGAAGAGGTCCACGAAAGCCTCCGGGTCATCCTGTGGACCCATCTTCATCAGTGGGACGTGGGCGATGGAGGGGGCTGCTGCTGGGGCGGCCTCCCGGCCAAGCAAGCTCCGGAGGACCCGCCGGTCCTCATCCTGCGCCTGGACCAACAGCCGGAACCGATCCTCCTGCTCCAGCTTGAGGTCCATCAGCGCCTGGTGTTGGGTTTGGTGAAGCCCGGCGAGTGACTTCACGAGCTCCGCAAGTGGCGTGGGCTGCGCTGGCTGCATGGCGGCGTGCCGGCTTCCTCGTCCCGGGTTTCGGCACCAGTGTAGCAAGGTTTTCAGGTCGGGAAGAAGGACGAGGAAGTCAGGGGTGGCGAGTAGACCTTTTATTGGTCGTCACAAACAACATATAACAACGAGTGCGCTTCTTGGGTTTCCCAGTCAGGTGTCGCACACTCTCCTGTCTCTCCCCCACTCCCAGGTCGGCGGCCGCTTATCTCTCGTCTCTCCGCCAATCACTGGAATTGCAAACAGATGTTAATCATTATTCACTTGACCTCCTTATCACCGCTCGTCTCCAAACTCGCTCTCCCGCTGCAGCCTTTCGCCTTCCCCCGCCCCCCTCGCCACAAGGATTTTTTACACGGCACCCCTGCTCTCGACAGACGGCAGCCCAGTGTGCCGCGGCACCCCGGTTGGGAAACACTGGTTTAGAGGGCATAGCAAATTGGCCAAGGCACACTATTTCAGCAGATGTCATGGTGTTTTGAAATAGTACAAAATTTTGTGTCCTTCAATGAAAAATATTTCAAAATAGTTAATTGTTTCTAATTGGCTTAGTTAGCCAAGCCCTAATTAAAACAGATAAAACAGTCTTAAAGAGATGAAAATACTGGCATTTACTCACCCTGAAGTTCTTCTAAACCTGTTTGAATTTATTTCAGCCGTTGAACACAAAAGGTATTTTGCAGAATGCTGGTAACCAATCAGTTGATGTTAGCCATCTGCTTGTTAAGTCTGACGTCACGCATCGCCACTTCCAGGTCCAAATGCTCTATCAGATGCCACAACAAAGCAACAAACGGTGCTAATATACACTCACAATGTGATGTAATACTACCAAAAATTATAATCCTAACCTTTATCTCCATACCGAAATCCCAGATGGAAAGACAATGATTCATCTTTTATAAATCATTAAAATATTTTTGTCTGGGACGTTGTGAGCACGGAGACTTCGTATACACCATAGGGTTTTTAAATGTGTAATATAAATAAACAGGGCTTAAAAATGGCTGTTGAGATAGTATTCTCAAGTGAAATGAATAGAGGCTTGGACCCGGAAACAGCTTTCCTTACGTCACAACATGCAAACTGACTTGAATGGAGTATGGAAAGAAATACTGTGGAAGTCAAAGACTACCGTCAACTGTTTGGTTACCAGAATTCTGCAAAATATCATGTTTTTGTTCAACAGAGAAAGGAAACTTGTACAGGTTTTGGAACTGAAGGGGAGTAAATGATGACATACTTTTCATTTTTGAAACAAATTAATAAAAGGACACAGACACTTCTAATTTCATGATTTGTTAATTACATTTAAAGGGTTAGTTCACCCAAAAATGAAAATTCTGTCATTAATTACTCACCCACATGTCGTTTCAAACCCGTAAGACCTTCGTTCATCTTCGGAACACAAATTAAGATATTTTTGATGAATTCTGAGGGCTCTCTGACCCTCCCATAGACAGCAACGCAACTGTAATGTTCCCAAGTCCAGAGACGTAGCAAGGAGATCTGTAAAATAATCCATGTGATATCAAGGGTTCAACTGTAATTTTACGAAGCTACGAGAATACCTTTTGTGAAAAAAAAAAAAAAAAAACAACTTTATTCATCAATTCGTCTCCTCTGCATCACCCTGTAAACAGCATATGCTGTTCTGTGTCAGCTGCATCACACGGATACACTGTTTTCGTTCAGATCAAATCACAACAACATAGGAAACAGATCCGGCGTGACGCAGCTGACACAGAACTGTTTACGTCCAGCGGATATTCTCCAAAATGGCACTACAGGGTGATGTGGAAGAGACGAATTGTTCAATAAAGTCGTAATTTTTTTTTCTTTTGTGCACAAAAGGTATTCTCGTAGCTTCGTAAAATTACGATTGAACCCCTGATGTCACATGGATTATTTTACAGATCTACTTGCTACGTTTCTGGACTTGGGAACATTTCAGTTATGTTGCTGTCTATGCAGGGTCAAATAGCTCTCAGATTCCATCAAAAATATCTTAATTTGTGTTGCGAAGATGAACGAAGGTCTTACGAGTTTGAAATGACATGAGGATGAGTAATTAATGACAGAATTTTCATTTTTGGGTGAACTAACCCTTTAATAGACTACAAGTTCATGAAAATTGGCAATTGGTGTGTAAAAGATGTTATTATACAAGTTTAGTCCACATGTTTGTGCTGTGTTCTCATTGAATTTGCAAAATCTTTACCAGCAGGTGCCGCCCAACATGTGCTGCTGTTTAGCATGTTTACCAAAGAGGCATTCTGTAAAAAGAAAATTAGTAATAGTGTTGTAGTAGTAACTGTGTTGCCTTTCATGACAAAGAGTTTCACTTGTTCCAGTTAATAATGTAGGCACCAAATTCGCTAACTTAATTCAGTAGAAAATTGAATTTTATTCATTACAAAACTAAGTGAAAACTTGTTGCTGTGCGTCTATTTCGATAAACACGCCAAAGGCGAACCAGTTGGGGCATAATAGAAATTGTGTGGCTCAAGTGCTTCAAGAAATAACAATAAAATAACCGGATGGTCAAACATCAAAGCAAGTGTGTATAAATTAACAAAGGCAATCTGGGCTGCACATAAAAATGTGTATAAAAAATATGGCAGGTAATTTAAACTCACAGAGAAAATGCACTGTACAATAATCCCATAAAACTGACACTCAAAGGTTGCCTATAAAGTGCACTGCAATATCATAACCAAAATGTCGGTCAAGAGACGATTTATATATCAGGACCCCAAAAGCGACAGCCAGAGATTTATAACAGAAACACGAGAGACCCTTGCTGTATAGGGAGCAGCGAGATGCACCATGAATACCTAATGCTTACCACAGCGTCTTAGGGCTGCTGTCCTTAGGGTCGCACCAGGAGAATGTCTTTAGCTACTGATATCTGCTTAAAAAGGAAAAGCTTATCATATTACCATTTAAAATTTTGACATTTGCCAATTTCACTACATCACGGAGACGAAGATGGACACTTGCTATTGAATTGTGCGTTTGTCTGATGTATGGCGTGCACCGCCAATGGCTGAGGCCGGTCTTACTTTTTGCTTTATTTGTTGGAAAAGGAATTGCTGTGCTAGAGGGGCCCATGTATGCAGTGGGAGGCCATGACGGATGGAGCTATTTGAACACAGTAGAAAGGTGGGACCCCCAGGCGAGGCAGTGGAATTATGTGGCCAGTATGTCCACACCACGCAGCACCGGCGGAGTCACTGCTCTCAATGGAAAGTAAGGAGTTCATTTTGTCTTATATTTTGTAGCATTGTTGAGCTACGATAGAATTTTAAAACATTTACATGTATTTAGCTTTTATTCAAAACGACATACAAAAGAAGAACAGAGCAATTTGACAGTAAACTGCTGTAAATCGCTCTACAGCCTTAACTCATTTAGTATGCGTAGAACTCAAGCGGCAACCTCCCCCTCTCTCTCTTGAAGCCAACAAGGAAGTGACTTAAACTGTAATTCGTCAACTGGCTGCTAGAGGCTGGCTGCAAAAGGGAGTCAATCCCATAGACTCCCCATGTTAAAATGCCCAACTTTACAGCAGAAAAAAACATGTTTACAGCCTGGTTCAAAAAATTATTTTGGTCTATATAGCTAATTTTGCCCTTCATGACAACTGTGAGGGGGGTGAATTTTTTTATAACTCATCCATTTAAATTATATTAAGCCTTAAAGTTCTGCATAATTAAGGGCGTGGCCACTTGAGTAACAGGTGGATTGCCGCTGCTGTCACCACCGTCGAGCTAGGTGGGCGTGGTTTCAGCAACCGCCTCTTTGCCCATTTTTGATTATCCGGGAGTGATGCGCTGCCAAGATGGCGACGGCCCGCTCTGCCCACTTTGAGCTTCAAAAACGCTCTTCGGAAATCTACGAGTGACGTCACGGACACTACGTCCATGTTTTTATACAGTCTATGGTAGAACTACAGTATGAATATGCAAATTAGTCCCTGCCTCCACTCTATCATAATTGAGTGTAGAAAAAAATGCTGTTCCTTACAGTATAACTGAAAATCTAGACCAGTGACCTGTGGTGAAAATAAAGTTTTCAACATTGTTTACACGTCGGTCTGATGTTTTTAATGATTAAATACAAACCATGTTCAAATTCATCAGTTAACACCCCTGCTGAGCATTTTCTCCTTAAAACTGCAGTGAACCAAATAGTCTCAATAATGCATTTTGAAACGTCCCATCAACTTGCGGGATAGGGCTTTTCATATCTCTATCATTTCATGTTTGATAACATAGTCAAGCCAAACGCTAATGATATCACTTACAGTTATGAGCCTGACGTTATAGAGAGCGATATCTACATTATCATTCTGATACATCAGCTTGTAGACGACCCTGTCCTCCTCTTCTTCGGAATCAGTTTCTGGTTCATACATATAGTGCTGAATTCAAAGGCGCCAAGGACTCGAGATGTTCTCCATTGACTTGAACCATTTAAAAAATTGATTGCGTGTTATAATACACACACAAATGCCTGCTGTGTAGTGTTTACTACTACAGTTAACTGAGTGAAAGTGGAGCAGGTCTGAGCTGGTGTGATTGAGTGGAGGTGGGCACTAATTTGCATATTTCCTGTATACTAAGTGAGGTAGAGTGAGTTACATTAAAGCCATTGTAAGGCATGAAGGATTTTTTTTCACAAAAAATCATTTCAATATCATTTCGATCATCAAAAATGAGTTTTAAGGGATACAATTAGTGATTGCAGGGGGACTTAAGATTGGGATACTATGCTATATTACCGCTGTTATATTGTAATATGTGGAGATTTTGAATTTCTATACATTTTTATGAAAAATTACTTTTTTTTTTTTTCTATTAAAAAAAAAGAAAGAAAAGAAAAGACTTTTCTATCAGTAGCAGTATGTGCAGTGTGCTGTGGCTGATCGCTTTCCTCCATGGATTCTCCTCATGATGAGGTCTGAATTAGGTACTGGATCCAATATACAGCGTAACCCTGTACAGCCAGACGGGAGTTAATAGGCTCTGAGACCAAAGACCCTCTGGTGTCTTTTACATTAAAGTCGCTTGAGTGGCAGGCGAGCTGCTGTTAGCTCTGTCCAAGAAAACGGAGGCTGGGTTTGAATCTAGCTGAACATTGACTGATGACTCATGGGGCTTTTCTGTAACCAGGTCAAAAACAAACTCTTCAAGATACCTCTAGAGTCCAGTGTCCTACTTCTCCAAGTGATTAATTGATCGGTCTTTTCACCAGGACATATCATAGGTATCTTTTCGAAGTTCTGTAGGACAGGGTCTCTAAGCCTCTTCTGACCCAGAGACCCTCTGAGGACCCCATAATATAAAAATGCTTGAAATTCTTTCAAATTCTATTGATTAACATTATTGTGTTATGCTAAACCTAGTTTCTCAATTAACTACCTTTTTTTCCTTGGCCATGTCCAAGTGTCTTCACATCAGTGTATTGTCCAACAGAGAGAGATTTATTTTCGTTTATGTCTGGGCGATAAATCGATAACCATAATTATAGCGATATTTTCATTGATAAAATGATAAATGTTCGATATCGAAAAGCTCAGAAAGCTGTAGAATTAACTGTAGTAACAATAACTACACCATGGTATTGTGGCAGAAATGTGGGATATTCATACTGAATTTTATATTATTATTAATATAGACATTAAAGGAGTTATGGAATATAATTAGTATTTTTACGATTAGACTATAGCGTTTGTGCATTTAAATACTAAATGCATTTAGACTACTGTTTTACATACAAATACTATAGAAACCATATATTGTAGTTACATTTTTACCATGGTATTGAGGTTCTGCATGTGTGGTTTTAACTGGTTATCATGATCTAAATGTATGCTACTATGGAAAACCAATGGTTAATTGAAAAACTAGAAAAGTCGGAATATTTAAATTTCAACATATAAAAATGAGGTTGTTAAATTTTTTACATATGTTACTGTTTTCGATAATGAACATAAATTTACATGTGCATCTTAACTCAAACTACTACTACTGTCAACTCAAAGCTACTGTCAAATGTGCATTTCTAAGAGACAAAAATGTGACATTAATATTGCAGCCTGCACTGAATGATAAAGCCTGCACTTTATCGTGATAATGATCAATATTGTCTGAAATGAAAAAGTTTATCATGCTATTTTTTTTTGCCCGTATCGCCCAGGCCTACTTTCGTTTAATAGTGTTTTCATGCCTTATAAAATCAATCAGATAATAGAAGTTATTTCTTATGACCACAATCTTTAGAAACACATTTTGAATATTTTAAAGATATTTTATATATATATTTCTGCAGTATTTCTTGGACCTCCAGGAGTCCGCAAACCCAGAGTTTTTCCACAAATAATTAATTTTAGCTGTATAATTTTCTTTTCAGGTAATGAGTAGTTTTAAACTCAAATAATACAAAAATAATCAATAAAAAAAAAATAAAATAAAAATGAACTTTGTCTAAATGAAATTTGAAAATATTTATTCTGTTAAATGCATGTTACTGTTTTTTGTGCTTTTTTAGTATATATTTTATAAATGGAAGTCGTTACTACCATATTGTGAAATATATTTGAGTGAAACAGAAAAACGAACAAGAAAGAAAAGTAGAACTGATATTTTATATATACAGGTGCATCTCAATAAATTAGAATGTAGCATCCTTGTGAAGGGTGTCAATGATTGCCTTCTGGACAACTGTCAGATCAGCAGTCTTCCCCATGATTGTGTAGCCTAGTGAACCAAACTGAGAGACCATTTTGAAGGCTCAGGAAACCTTTGCAGGTGTTTTGAGTTGATTAGCTGATTGGCATGTCACCATATTCTAATTTGTTGAGATAGTGAATTGGTGGGTTTTTGTTAAATGTGAGCCAAAATCATCACAATTAAAAGAACCAAAGACTTAAACTACTTCAGTCTGTGTGCATTGAATTTATTTAATACACAAGTTTCACAATTTGAGCTGAATTACTGAAATAAATGAACTTTTCCACGACATTCTAATTTATTGAGATGCACCTGTAAATGGTTGACTGGCTTATGAAATGTGAGCGGTGCATACAGGATCTCAATGCAATTTGTTTAACTGCAGTGTGGCCTTGCATATGTCATAGACGTCAAGTAAACATATCAGAAGAGCAAGTTACAACATTTTGCTTAAAGATCCCAAAGTAAATGCCCAGATAAAATGTTCACAATAAGACCAATACCACAAATTAAGAAAATAAATAAGGTGCATTTTTATTTCATGCCACTTTATAAATAATACCTCTTAACAAATAAAGTTAATTTCTGACACTTGTGCTTGTGGTGATGCAGGAGGGGAATAATGCTCTATAATTGAATGTAAACTCATTCAGGGCTGGCCAAAGCTAGTTTTCTCAGCAGCCATCCTGGCAATGACCCCTGCCAAAATATTTCTGCCTAAATAATAATGTACTTGTGTATACACAAGTAAGCTCCTGTATGCTTTGTTTATCTCCAAAACTATTGTTTTACTATACATTTCCATAACATATTTTAAATTACCAAAAAAAAATACTAAAACCTTTTGCTCCTTTAGCTGAAATCATGCTTTAAAAAATATTTTAAGATTGCTCCAACAAAGTACATCTTTTGACCATCCTGTTTTACTCTGATATACATCACAGTATGGAAGTTAAATAAGTTGCGAAAAGGTGAAACCTTTATGTATTTTCAGGTTGTTCGCTGTTGGTGGTCGTGATGGAAGCTCGTGTCTGCGATCGATGGAATGTTTTGATCCTCACACAAATAAATGGAGTATGTGTGCACCCATGTCAAAGAGGAGGGGAGGAGTAGGCGTGGCCACATATAACAGTTTCTTGTATGCAGTCGGAGGACATGATGCACCAGCTTCAAACCACTGTTCACGTCTCTCTGACTGTGTGGAGAGGTAAGCTGCCACGGCACAGCATCTGGGAAGAAAGAAATAATAACCTAATCATAACGACAACAGCACCCCACAAAAGCAGGCTGTGAGTCTTGGCACATAGTTATGGGTGCCAAGTACTGTCATTTGTATGCTTGCAAATCTGGACACACTTTACTCCAATGTGAAACTGTTAGCCACAGTAATTCAATAATCTGGTGTTAGATGCCCCCTGCTGGTGATGATCTGAAATACAGCCTAAAGGTTGTAATAATTAAAATTTAAAACTCACCAAGGCTGCATTTAATTGATCAAAAATACAGTAATATTTCATATTACAATTTGAAATAAACTTTCAATTTAAATATATATATATTTTTTAAATGTAATTTATTCCTGTGATTTAAAGCTGAATTTTCAGTATCATTACTCCAGTCTTAAGTATCACATGGTCCTTCAGAAATCATTCTAATATGCTGATTAATCATATGCTCAAGAAACATTTAAATGTGGAGTAAACCTTGCAAAATTTAATTCAAAATAACTTGGTTATAAGCAATATACCTGTATATTACTGTATTTTCATTATATAATTAGCCTATTTATTTCCATGATATCTATCTATCTATCTATCTATCTATCTATCAAAAAAAAAACTCCCATAAAAGGTGACCAACTAGCTGTAAGTACTTGAGGGAAAAGGCTAAATGAATAATAACTGAAATATAAAGAACAAAAAGACATCCTCATTAATGAACAACAGCCGTCAGAACCTTCAACTCATTACTCTGTTATTACTCTGCACGCTGAAAGCACAATAGATTTCATTGTTAGGGATGATAATCATAGTCCTTATGCTTTCAAAGGCTTTCATCGTCTAGATTACAGCCTGGCTGCTGTTTAACCTCTCTATGCAATTATCTCTCATTTTATCCAGTGGCTTGTATTGAAAGTGCTAGCACAGGTTTATACTGTTTTGTTCTGTTCTGAATTTACAGGTATGACCCCAAAACAGACACGTGGACCACAGTGTCCTCTCTGAGCATCCCCCGGGATGCAGTGGGGGTGTGTCTGCTGGGAGACAGGTTATATGCGGTCGGAGGATATGACGGTCAGACCTACTTAAATAGTGTCGAGTCCTATGATGCACAGAACAATGAATGGACTGAGGTGAGTCCATCTTCAAATCAGGCTGCCTTTAAAGTAGTGCTTCAACATTTTTGGCTCCAAGGGCCCCATTGTCCACAACAATGTTCAAACGCCCCATGGATTTTCCAGTTGTTTGTGATTAACTGGATAAGAATTAATTATTTTTTAGATATTTCTATGCACAATTTCTACCTAATTAAATATTTTAGAGCTTGTCATGACTTCAGTATATTCATTATAGAAATGCCCATGGAGTTTTGATTCATTTACCATTCCATTCTAGAAATCACACTTTTAAAATTTGGCTTCCTCATATATCCAGATTTTTAAAGAAATGATAAAGATTGATAAAGATATATATGGGAAAGCCTGGATCTTCAAAGGAAAAAAAAAACTATTCATGGGGTGAATTAAAATAAGATACTGGGTTTGGTCTTATTTAAAATTATTTTAAGAAATAATTAATAATTTTAAGTGGCTCAAAAATAACAAGTTGGTGAGAATGTATTTACACTGCAATTAAAATTGCATAAATAACACAATGAGATTAATGGTTAAATATAACATTTTGAAAACAGAAATATGAAATGATTAGGAATGATCTTTTTAAATATGAAACTAAAACCACTACTAGCTGGTGACTCAATGACTTACTCATCTTAATGAGCGAGTCACTGAATCATTTGATTAATTGAAAAGGACTGATTCAATAAGAAAATTAAGCAAGTGACTAATGACTTTATGAATGGGTAATTGAATCATGCACTCAACCGATTTTTTGAAAACTAAATTTCATTCAGGAATGCTAATGGGAGTCCCCCAGCCTCCCCTCAATTCAGACACTGATTTTAAGTAATCTTGATGCCCCTAGTGGGCCCTGTTTACAAATATATCTTTAAAGCAGTTGTTCCCTTTCATGGGAACTTCGAACTGCGTCCTCTAGCATCATTCACTTCTTCGTCTGATGCTTGCGTCCGCAGCATGGCGAGAAAACCTAGAGGCCGCAGTGTATCGTTCCCTACTCAGGGAACCATGGTTACATATATAACCTGAGACGTTTTAAATCAATCAATCAATCAATCAACCGATCAATAAAAAAATAAAGAAATGAGGTTACTGTTACAATACAGCTAAATGGGACCAGTTTTTTGGAAGATTTTAAAGTGTGAAGCTTATAATTTTATAAAAAACACTTACAATACAGCTCAAATAATACAAAGTGTCAATAGAAGTAGTGAAGTTGCTCTGATAATTTTTTTGTGCAATTTAAGGTTTTTGATGTTACATTGTCATAGCAACAAAAGATAATTCCATGTAACTTTACTCAGGAAAGGTTAGTGAGTCCCCC